GATCCATTATCAAAACTTGGCCCAAAACATCATATTCATAAAGTCCAACAAAGGCCCAATTCCAACTAGTCCATAAACAGCCCAAAACCCAAAGCCTAAATGTCAAAAGCCCAACAGAGGACGTACGCGGGGCGTACTTCTCTGGTACGCTGGGCGTACTCGTTCTGATGTTGACCACCATCGGGGTGGTTGACCCAGTACGCTGGGCGTACTGGATTTACGCTGGGCGTACGTAGCGTTTTGCCAAAATCTTAATAAGTGCTTAATGGCTTAAGCACTTAAGCCCAAACTTCAAATCCAGTGACCAAATGTGTCTAGGCCCCATAAAGTCACGAACTTTATCACTTTGGACGTCCAGAAAGTTCTTAATACTTGGTCTTAATCCATTAAGACCTTCCTACTCCATGCATGAGACATATTAAGCCATTGAGACCTCATTTTTATCACTCAAAACTCCTTCAAGAGTCTAGAAGGACAATTCATTTTGTCCAAATCACATCATGCACCATCTTGGGACTTTTTGGGACAAGAAATGGTTCTTTAAAGCAAAATGGCTAGATCTATACATATATGCATAAAGTTTGAAGTTTTTTACCTTCTGGAGCTTCTAGGGCACAAACCAACTTCAGATCTACAAGCTTGATCTTCTTCTCCAACTCCTTGATGCAATACCTTCTTCTTAAAACACTCAAGAAACACTCAATAAGCTCACACACTCAAGGAAATGGCTAGGGTTTGAGGAAAACGGCTCTAAGCAGTGGAGGCTGAGGTAAGGGAGGGTTTGGTGCTCATAATGTTGCTTATATAGTCCCCAAACCCTAAATATTAGGGTTTCATCCTGATATAAGTACACCCAGCGTACTAAGGCGGACCTTAGTACGCTTAGCGTACTCTTATGTACGCTTAGCGTACTCCTTCTTGACCTAAGGTTGCAACCTTGGCCCTTATACTTGGCTTGACTCTACACTTCCAACCCCAAGGACTACAAATGACAAAGTAATGATAGAAGAGGGTTTGGAAATACCTGCAAAATCTCGGGATTTTACAACATCGTTTTTTCAAATTCCTGTACAATGAAAATGAAGTTGAAGGAGACGTCAATTTATAGTGAAACGTTGGGTATGTAAAGAATTATTACTGTAACATCCCAAAAATCAAGATAGAAAATTTTCATTTTTCAATCAAACAAAACTATAATTGTTTACAAAAAATTGTTCTCAAAAGTGGAAATCAGATATCAGAGTGTCCCAAATCAAATGTCACAAAACCCGGAGGATGTGTACGATCACCCCTTTGCCTTCCCACGATCATCTGAAATACCTGAAACATAAAATTAAACCGTAAGCCAAAGCTTAGTGAGTTCCCCTATAGTACCATACACGACCATACAAAAAACAAAATGCATACATGAGCCTTCAGCGTGACTGGACCGCCGAACCGGGCCTACAAACTATATGGACCGCTCTCAGAGCCTTCAGCATGACTGGACCGTCAAACCGGGCCTACACACTATCTGGACCGCTCTCTGGGCCTTCGGAATGACTGGACCGCCTCTCGGGCCTTCAGCCTATTCGGAATGCCCTGGGTATCTTGGCCTTCATCACAAAGCCGAACCACCCCAACCCGACCAACCATAACATGTCGACATATACAATGACAATCAATAATCAGCAATACATGTAATCATGCAAATCTACCAATCTAACGCATATCAATAATCATCAGGTATTCATACATATCTACCACATACTCCGCATAACATCAATCCATATACCAAGATATCAATTCCAGTGGGCTGACCTTGGTGCCTTCGACCCATAAGTAAAGTGACGAAAACTCACTTCTCAGTATGAACAAATAGCCAAATAGGACACTGCTCTGAATATCAGCTCTACCAGTCGCCTATACATCAAATCGTGACCAATCTCAACTACAACTCAAAATAACCAAAACACCCTTAGGTCAAGCTTGGTCAAATCCTGGTTAAAGTCTAAAGTCAAAGAAGTCAACCGAGTCAACTTAGCTGAGTACGCCTAAGATACTCAGCTTGTGTGCACGACATAATAAGGTCTTGACCAAAAAGCGGGGTGTTGACCTCGTACGCGCAACGTACCATAGCGTACACCCAACATACGTGTCTGCCACCTTTTCCTTCTATTAAGAGCTTAATCCCTTAAGCTCTTTTCGTCCAAAATCCAGATCTAGTCCTCAAATGACGTCCTTAATCATAAAGTTTCCAACTTTATGATATTGCATGGCTATTAAGTGCTTAATACCAAAACCCTAACTTAATACATGGTCTAAACCACTAAAGAGCATGCATGGAGGGATATGCACAATCAAGACTCCATTTTTATGACCCAAAACACTCCAAAATGTCTGAAAGGACAACTCATATGATTTAGAGTAACCCATACTCTAATCTAAAGAAAAACTTCATCAAGATTAGAGCTTTTTACCTCCAAGTGGTGCCAAATGATGATGTGTTTCTGGATCCAAAGTGATCCACTCTTCTAAGATGGTCTCCTCCTCCTTCCTCCTTCAAGATCACTAAAATACACACTCAAGGTCAAAAATGCCCACATAAGAGATTAGGGTTAGCTAGGGTCGTGTTGGAAGATGGAGGCTGATGAAAGAAAGGGTATTGAGGCTATAAAGGTGTTTAAATAATGCACAACCCCTAAACATTAGGGTTTTGGTCCAGGCCACGTACGCCCAACGTACGCTATGAAACACGCGTTTCTCCAAAAACGCTACAAGGGACCAGTTTTCCAAACATTTCTCATACCAAGGGTCAAAAGGTAAAATACCTAGAAATCGAGATATTACAATTACATAAATTATAGAGAAATTTACAAATTTAGCCATTTTCCTTAATCTCCTTGCAAAAATAGCCAAAAAAACTAACATTAAAAAAATAGCCATCAAAATCACAGATGGGTTAGAGCCATCTACGATTTTGAGTGTTGATCTGTGAAGGTACAAGTGTTTAAAGTGTGTTTGTGCATCATCTGTTGTATGGCTTGAGAAACTGAAAGTTGATCTACCTAGGTACAAGTGAGAGAAAAACGTGTTTGTGATCTCTAAGTAGTTTTTTATGCATTTTTTATGCATTTTTAGGGTTTTTTAAGGTTTATATATATATATATATATATATATATATATATATTATCCTTAATAATTTTGATTTTAGTCACTACGATTTATTTTGTGTTGTGCTTGTAAAGAGTATTACAAAATAGAATGTGTATCACATAACCATGTTGTAGTTCATTGCTTTAATCTTAGTCAATGAGATAAACTTTTAACTAGAGTTTCTTTATTTACGTATAAGTGAAACGCCAACCCACAAAGAAGAAATAATCAGTAGAGTTTCAGAAAGGCAAAAAGACACATGTTACATATACAAGGAATAAAACGAAAAATATATCGAAAATCAAAAGGAGCATGGTGAGAAGGTACATATAGAACCAACATACAAATAAAAAAGGTAGATACAAGTAATAACTAGGAAGAAAAGTATCGACAAAACAAGTTGGAAGTAAAAAAACAGTGAAAACTAGGCAAAATACACAAACAATGTAAAGACAACTAGCACCTAGACTAATCATGTACCACTCCACGACCTTGATATCCACACTCTCTAAACCTCATTTAAATGTAACACTGCATTATATTCACGCTTCTTTATCATATGTTCTCTCTTCCTCGCATGATTTACAACGACCGTCTCCACCATCTGGAGTGAAAACCGTTGCCTATCTCCTAAGTATATGTCTGAAACCATCACAATCTTTGTTTCTTCAATTTCTATGTTATTAAATTCGCTTCTATTATAATTTTAAGTGTTGTTTCTTGTAACTTACACAATAAAGGTATATCATACGATTACTACAACATCCTCACTTTTGTGACCTTCATATTCAACTTGTGCGCATTCTTAATAACATTTAGAACCATTTACAAGATAATGACTTAAAAGAGTAACAAACTTTCAATTTTGTTCACATTTAGTCATTAAACTTTTTTTTTGCTTGATTTACCCATAAATTATTTGAAATTGTTCACATTTTACCCTTATGATCGGTTATAACCAGTCATAAGGGTAAAATGTGAACAATTTTAAATAATTCAAAGGTAAATCAAGCACGAAAAAAAATTCGGTAACTACGCATGAACAAAGTTGAAAGTCCGTTACCCTCTCAAGTTATTATCCCTATAATTTATAAACTTTAGTTGAAAATAAAATAGAGACAACCAAGATACGATGACGTATGATATAATCCGCGAAAGCTCATAAAATACTTTATTTTTCATATTTGTGATCAACATAGATTAGCAATAAGATGTGAAATCATTTGTTGAGTTTAGGAATCGTTTTCAATTTTCAGTTTTCCTTACACTTAAGTTTTATGGATAGGTTGTCACGACACATTGTTGTTATGTTTGAACCAAATGTCTATAAAATATAAGGATCCGTTCATTATTAGAATTTTCAGACATGCTTTCCTACCGAAGGTCGGGTTCATCAAACTTTGGCTTATCTAAAATATTGTCCGCCTGATGGGCTGCTTAGATGTACGGTTTACCATTTCTTTTATCTTGAGAGCTACTTGGTTACTTCAACCTTTTTAAACTCACACGTTCATATGTTTGACTTTCACATGTTGACTCTTGACTATATATAGCATGCAATTACTTGATTGCCTTGATATTAGACTATATTTTATACATGCTTTAGATTGCCATAGCAATGAAGATCTGAGGAAAAAGTTCCTATAATAAGTGACAAAAAAATCACTAATCCCCGTTTTAGGACATGGAATGGAACACTCAAAACGTCACAAACACAATACCCGTGTTACCCTTGAATGTTAAAATGCCATCCAATTTCAAAATTTGGCGAGTTATACATGTTCATCATCATCATCATCATCATCATCATGCATAAAGAAAAAAAAACAGCATCATAGCCAGATGCATAATAATAGATTTAATAGATCATGAAGAATCTAGGTGCATGCATGTTCAATGCAGAAATTTGCAATTAATTCCATATGTGCACCTTCCTTGGGCATAGTATTTGCAAAACTGCCCCCTCTGCCCTTGATATTTGCAAAACTGCCCCCTCTGTCCTTGATTGTGGCCCATTGGTATATATCCATTGTTGCCACCTCCTTGAAAAATATAGCTTTGTGGGCCCATACTTTCTCTCATATCATCATACTCACGCCTTTCAAATTGTCTTGAAGGATGATGATAGAACTCCATATTAAAATCCCTTCTAACCTGATTCCTTAAAGTATTACAGTTGACATTTTCTTTATATGATCCTCCATGGTGATTATTGTTATGCAAGTTTGTGGGATTCCTTGAATTAATAATCATAGGGAGGAGTTGTGTAGGAGATGATGTGTTTCTTTTCTTCTCTTGTTTTTTTTCATTCTGAATGTTCCCTTTTGATGACCTGTGTTCCCTTAATGCTTTCTTCTTTTCCTTTTCTTGAATTCGTGTTTCCCTATTGCTTCTTGCTGCATTACCTCTCGCATGTTTTTCAGACAATATTTTCTGTCTTTCACTTTCATCTTCCCATCTCTACGATTAATAATAATAATAACTTTCAGTCCTTATAAATAAATAAATAAATGTTTGAGAAAAGCAAATACAAACCTGTCTCATTGTCTTTAACCTATAAAGATTTCTCCCTTTGATGAGTAAAGGATGAAGTGGAGGAAGTGGTTTCACCCCTTTGCTCCATAAAACCTCAACCTAACATTTATAGAAACATAAAGTTTACAATTAATTAGGAGTTCAAATATATGAAAGTGTTAAAAAAAAGATTAGAAATGAAGCTCACTGTAAATGTATGTTGTTGTTTAGCAGCACCATAGCTTTCTTTTACAATTCTTCCTGCTACAATTCTTGTTCCACAAGGAGGACCATTAGCACTCCTTGATACAATACTAAACCTGATAGATTATAGATAAGATAACCAATCATTAGCTATCAAGATTTTAAATTTTATAAAAGCTGTAATAATAATGAATGAATGAATGAATGGATCCTTACATTTCATAAACATTTTGTTCAAACATAACAATGTCTCCTGTGCATGCATCACCTGTAATGGTTGAATTACTCCTTAGAAGCATTGAAGAAAATATTGAATATCAAACTTCATTATATAAAGATTTTACCTTTACAGTTCATAACAAAACTTGAAGCAGGGTATTTATGTTCTCCTTCACCATTCATAATACTGAGATAAACCGAATCCAGTATATCATAAAGATTACTATTAAATCAAATGCACAAAGACAATTGAGTTTTTGGAATGATCAAGTGTACCTAATGTGCTCCTTGATACGATCGATGAGGATATCTTTCTTGCCTGTTAATCTCAAGCCGTGTTTCCTTAGATACAGCTTACATTGTTCCACTTTCAGTTTCTCCACCTGACCAACTGCGCATAAAAAACATAAGCATTCAGAAAAGGCATTTCAACAAACACTTTATCTTCGTCTTTTTCAAGAATCTAACCCTAGTTTAACATTAACCTTCAATGGTCTTTTGAACGATCTCATAAGTTTTTTGGTCATTTGCATCGAACACCGGCTCCACAATCTCTATACAATCAACATCATCACCAACTTTCACGGGAATACTGAAAAAAAAACGATTAGAAAGTCTAGATTTGAAATTAGAAAGTAACAGTACTTAAAAGAAGAGGTAATGAAGAATCACCGAGATTTGGATTTCTTCTTGATGGAGAGATTAGAAAGTCTAGATTGAGTCTCTTCTAAGATGTCGAAGCTTGGGTCATCTTGAGAATCATCGGAATCACACGTCTCTGGTTGTGATTCAACGTCTTCAATATAAATTTCTGGAATCATTGTATGAATAATTTTTGAGAATTGTTGTGGAATTGGGGTTTTGTGGGAATGATTTTTGAATTGGTTTTTTAGTAGGGTTTAAATAATTCAAACGTTCTAAAACGCAACGTTCAATTTTTTTAGGAAATTGGAACAGCTGGGTTGAAGCCCATGGGCAGAGAGGGTCCGTATCGATTCGATATCACAGTGTGCACGTCACATAAAAGCCTAGGTGTAGTATCGTAATATTTTAGTGATCAGACAACACTATTTTTTTTTTTTAATAAAGAAAGGTAGCACCTCCGAGAAAATTAATACAATATCACAAAGATGTGCTTCGGGCCGGAACCCATCCGAATCAGAACGAACCCAAATAACCCGAAACTCGAATTGGATGCAAAGTTGGAACCGAAACCCGGATAGATTATACAAATACGAGACCGGTTCGGTTTAGATAATGCAGGTTTCGGTTCGGTTATTAACTCGAAAGAACCGAAATAACATGTACACTATGCTTTTGAACCGAAATGACCAGATTATATTAATAGGAGTTTTTATTTTATTATTTTTTTTATTTTTTTATTTTTTTATTTTGTGCGTGTGTATAGCAAGGCCGACGATGAATCAATCAATCCAAGCAGGCAGGGGCGGAGTCAGGATTTAAGAATAAGGGAAGCTGACATCGTAAAAATATATTCAAATATATTTTATATCAAAATAACGTAATAGAGTTTACAATCTTGAAAGATAATTTGACAATAAAAAATTGGAAAAACTGCAATAAAGTCCTTACATATTGGCCTCAAAATCGATTTAGTCCTTATATATATTTTTTTATTCAATTAAGTCTAAAATACCGGTAATCGTATTCAATTTAATCCCTTGACCCGGTCAACAGGTCATCCAACTTTCGAAAATTACATTTTTGGCCCAGATTTTAAAATTTATTACAAATTTGGTCCAAAATTTACACTTTTGGCCCATATTTTAAATTTTGTTACAAATTTGGTCCAAACTTTACCTTTTTTGCCCAAATTTTAGAATTTTATATGAATTCATCCTAACTTTAGTTTTTTTATAACTTTTTTTCTCAAAAATTTGTTTCTAATATGTTTTTTCTTTATAAAATCATATTTATACAACAAAAACATATTTTCACATAAAAATCTTATATTTTCTATATAAAAACTTTTTTTAAAAACTTTTTTGTATATGAAATATCTACTTATAAAAATAGGTATTTATTAAGTATACAAATATATACAAATCCGTTTTTATAAAAAAAATGTATACAAACACGTATTTTACAAAAAAATGTATGCAAACACCTATTTTATTATAAATGTATACAAACACGTATTATATAAAAAAAATATTCAAACACGTTTTCATAAAATGTATACAAACACGATTTTATAAAATGTATACAAACACGTATTATATAAAAAATTATTCAAACATGGTTTTATAAAATGTATACAAACACGATTTTATAAAATGTATACAAACACGTATTATATAAAAAAATATTCAAACACGTTTTTATAAAATGTATACAAACACGATTTTATAAAATGTATACAAACACGATTTTATAAAATGTATACAAAAACGTATTATATAAAAAAAATTCAAACACGTTTTTATAAAATGTATACAAACACGATTTTATACAATGTATACAAACACATATTATATAAAAAATTATTCAAACACGTTTTTATAAAAGAAATGTAACCAAACACGATTTTATAAAAAAAATATACATTTTTTTATAAAAACAGATTTGTATATATTTATGTACTTAATAAATACTTATTTTTATAAGTAGATATTTCATATACAAAAAACTTTTTAAAACTTTTTTTATATAGAAAATATAAGATTTTTATGTGAAAATATGTTTTTTTTTGTATAAATATGATTTTATAAAGAAAAAACACATTAGAAACAAAATTTTGAGAAAAAAAGTTGTAAAAAAAACTAAAGTTAGGATGAATTCATAATAAAATTCTAAAATTTGGGCAAAAAGGGTAAAGTTTGGATCAAATTTGTAACAAAATTTAAAATTTGGGCCAAAAGTGTAAATTTTGGACCAAATTTGTAATAAAATTTGAAATCTGGGCCACAAATGTAATTTTTGAAAGTTGAATGACCTGTTGACCGGGTCAAGGGGTTAAGTTGAATACGATTACCGGTATTTGGGACTTAATTGAATAAAAAAAATATATAAGGACTAAATCGATTATGAGGTCAATATGTAAGGATTTTATTGCAGTTTTTCATTTTCGTTTAAACAAAAGCTATATCAATCGTTTCAAGAACAAATTTCCAAAAGTTTTCAACCATCAATAAAGATTGATTTATAGTCATCCATTAACATGCTAATATTAAAAAACTATATTAATTATAGATCCAGATGTTTCATTAATTGAATTATACTCAGTGATATAATCTATCATTATAATTATAAGAAACAAAATACCATTTATAATAATATAATTAATGACAAGCTAAAAAATTATTGAATATATAAGAATAATTAAAAACACACCTTGTTCTTAAACGGAGATGATATTATAGCATAGTAGGGTTTTTTTTTTTTTTTGGAACCGGTAAATATATTATAAAGGCGACACTAACAAGATGCTAGTGAAGCGAAAGAGTACAAAGTGCAAGTTAATTTAAACATGATATCTCCTACTACACCTCAATCGCCTTTTAGCGAATCACTACACCATAGACTCCAATCCAAAACACATTTGTTGATTCTATGTTTTATCCAAGTGAATACTACGATTTAATATTATCCATTATCTTCGCCAGTTGGTTTCTAAAATTTCTGAAGACTCTTTCGTTTCTTGCTTTCCAAAGACACCAAATTGTCCCATATTTTATGGCATCCATAGTTTTCTTTTCTTTTGGGCATTGCCTCGATCTTCTATTCCTCGCCAACGCCTCCCTCACTGATGTGCAGTCATGGATTGAGTATGGAGCCCCACACCATTGTTCTACCGCCAACCAAACTTCTTTCACCAACATACACCCCATAAATAAGTGATCCGTTGTTTCCTCATTTATTTGGCACCTGTACAGTAGGTAAGTAGCAGAAAAAAAAACGTTGCCGTCTTTTTCAGTTTGGGAATTAGAGTGAGAGTAATTTAAGTAATAAATAAGTTATTTAAAGCATATGAGGGACGGTGGGCTACAACTATAAATATGACGTGGACTTAAATATCATTTATTTAATGTTTTGATGGTAGTATACTACAACTAAAAAATGTTGGGGGATGGCTGGGCATCCGGCAACCCCGGTACTAACTCCGCCACTGCAAGTAGGTATCTACAAGATCGATTATGAACTGCTAGGGCGACGATGAGTTCAATTTCAGTTGTTGTTGTTTTTTTTAATTCGATCGGTATTGGGTGGGTACAACAATACACAACTAACAAAAGCAAGAGCCAAGAGGTGATCGATCAAGTGACTATTTAATCTCCGGGTCGGTCGGTCAGTCATTTTGGCCCGAATAAACCGTTAGTCGAGTAACCCGAACCGAATAACCCGAGAACTTAATAAGCCTAAAATACATACCCGAGAACCAACTCGTATAACTTATTCGACCGTAATTCGGTTCGGGTCGGTTTGAGTTTCGCTTTTGCTTCGGGTTTTCGGTCCAACCGTTCATTCCTACAATATCATATAGTAGATTCCCCATCTATAAAAAAAATGTTTCCTAAAAAAAAAGTAAAGAGGCCTGAAGCCCCGACACAATAACTTAAGGAAATATAAAAACATAAACAAAAAGATAACAACAAAAACGAGGATAGAACAAACCATAACATGAAGCTACTCCTACTAATATATTTTTGATTACTACATTGTTATTCTATTTAAAAAAATTCTATCATACGTGCACCACAAACATTCTTATTTTTGTTCCTTCCATCTTCATCTCACGATTCTTCTTATTCGACCAAAATTCCGATTTTATCAACATAATTGACCTAAACCCTGTAAAATTTCTCATAGTTTCAACAAACTTTTATGTCTCATAACACTCCTATTTCCGCCTTCCACTTTAATTTTATCATATTTATATAGTGGTAATGCCATCCATAAACCTCTGACAAGGGAGTTCAAAGTGTGCATATGAACATGGGCCATTCAATCTAGGGCCTATTTTTTTCTAGATTTTATATCAGGCTATATTTGGTTTTTTTGGCCAAAATAGGTTAATGATGTATAGGAGAGAAAAAAATGACACAAGCAGTAGCGGGAATCGGAATCAAATGAAAAAGGCACATTGGTTTTTGCTAATAGTGATTTTGATTTAAGCATTAAGAAGACGAGAACCAGTCAACAATGGCTAATAGCAAACGATCTTAAATAACTCAATCGGAAGCTTTCAATTCATACTTCTTGCATCTTAGTTCTTTCATCATAGATCTTAAAAAAATAAGATAATTTGAATCGAGAGTGAGGCTTTAAAATTCTGAAGCAAAGTGAAATTGAAAGAGAGGTTTCGAAAGTCAAAATTTGGGATCGGGTCTAGGGACAAAACTCGAAATGTATTATTTATGTTTTATCTATCTGATTCATTTATTATGTTTTTTAGAAGTAAATAAGTTTTATTATTATTATTTATGATTCATATTTTCTCGAATCCAGAAGATTGAAGCAATAATCTATCCACTTTCAATCTAGCTTTAAGGTTTAGATGTTTTTTTATTTCAATTTGTCTTAAAGTGTCAAAATCAGAAGCTATTACACATTTTTTTTTATCTGTTGCATATTTTTGATATTGTTGAGAAGAAAACAAAATTTTTCATTCCTTATCATTCCTATTTTCTAGGATTCATAAGCATTGAAGCAACAATATGTTGACTTTCTATCCATGTTTAAATTTAAAAGGTTTTTGATTTCAGATTTTTTTTAAGTATCGAAATTTAGAAGGTAAATTTTTAATTTCTGATTTTTTATTAGAAGCAAATCAAAATTTTTCTTTTTTATAATGTAATATAACTTTCTGATTTGATTTATGTTTTTTTACAATTATTTATAAAGGACAAATGTATTATGCTTTGTTA